CCATCCTTCCGGCCAGGGCCCCGGCCCCCCCTCGACAGCGCCCTGGCCGCCATGGCAGTCTTTGTTGGAACTGCCCGCGCACCTGGCCCGTCGCGTCGAGCCGCCGCTCGCCTGGGACGCATTCTGCTCGCCCCCTGGTCAGAGCCAGAGGTCCAGCAAGTCCGCGATCGTCGCCGTCGGAGACGCAATGAAAGTCACGATGGCTCTTCTTCAGACGCCGATATTCAGGGAGTTATTCCTAATCGACTCGATGGCCAAGATCTGCGCGTCGATGAGGGGCGCGCGCTGGCCCTGGCTGTCCGCCTTGCCGCCGAAACCTTTCCCGCGGTCGTGTAGCCGCGGTTCAGCGCGGCGGTTCTGGCTCTGCGATGAGCGATCGATGGGGGCACTCTAGGATTTTGCCCGGCGCTTCGGGCAGCCGCGCTCGCGGCGCGCCGCCCCGGTCGGCGACGACGATTGGCAGCGGAAAATTCACGCCATTACTTTGAAGGAGCCATTTGCCACAGGGAACACGCCCTTTAGTAAAGTGCTGCTGCTCTGTTGCGCGACAACCGCGGCGGCGCGTCCGAACTGCCGAGCCGCGCCCTGAGCTCGCGCCGCGAATCCCCTGTCAAGGAGCATCTACAACTCGCTGAGAACATGTCCAAAGATCGCCGCGACCCGATGCGACGCGACCCTGATTGCTCGGGCAAATGCATCGCGGGGCGCGCCAGCCAGAGAGACGGGGGTTCCTCGCCCCCCGACTGGGCCCCGACCCCGCATCGCCATCGCACCCCCGGGGCCTTGCCAAGGCAGACCGCGGACTTTACTACAGCGAGGAAGCGACTTTACAACAGCGAAGGAGCGGCTTCGCTAAAGCGAGGGAGCGGAGGAGCCGGCTTCGTTAAAGCGAGGAACTACGGCACACTCAGACGAGGAAGCGGCCCCAGCAAAGGCGCGCCGCTCACTGCATTCAGACAAAACGACGTTTCACTGAAGCGAGAAGGGAGCTCTAGTCAAGCGGAGGGGCGGAGAGGGAAAAGCCACGCGCATTAATTTCGCCCCCATAAAACCTGGCGCGGGGCTCCGGGCGCGAGAACGGGACGCAAGTTCGCCCGCGGGCCTGGGCCCCGTCGCCGCCGTCGCCGCAATTTTTGTCGTCGCCGCCGTCGCCGTTGCCGCCGTCGTCGTCGCCGTCGGCGCAGGCGTCGCCGTCGTCGACGCCGCAGCGCCCGCGCATGCGCGCGTTATTGCCAGCGGCGTGTCGCGCGCAACCGCGTGCGCCACTGCGCTCGCATTTCCGCTCGTCCGACGGGGCCTTGGCGGACATCGCGTTGTAATCCTCCCACGATCCGCCCAGGGATAATGGGAAAAAGACCCCTCTGGCATGGGCCGCTTCCCGCCGCGTGCGTCTGACCTCTGGTCGGCGGTAAAAGGTTTTCTGGATTTCACCCGCGATGGGGCCCCTGTCGGCACGCTCCAAATGGATGCAAGTGTCGAATGGGCGCCTCCGACCAGCCCTAGCCCAGGCATCGGCGCGCATCTTCCGTGGGCACCTCCACGCGGCGACCGCGATCATCGCGGGGGGTGGAGGAGCCCTTGTCATGGTGCGCGCAGCCTTTTCATTCGCCGGCGGCGCGTCCCTCGACTAGGCTGGGATCTCGCCCGCGGCCAGGCCAGGCCCGATGATAGCCCGTCGATTCCGCGAGATACAAGTGACCCTCAAAATCGGACCACGCCGCGCCGTAGCCACATCGTCATCAGTAAGACCGATGGTAGTAGGTGACGGCTGGGGGGCGACCCCCCTGCTCGCGCGTGGGCTGGAATTGCGCCCGCTGTTCTTCAGTGACAAAGATCGCGCTCACCTCGGGCGCGCGGTCAAGCTGGGACCCGACGCCCCTGTCGGAGCTGGCGCGCGCGCGGCCGCGGACGGGATGCGCGCCAGACCTCAAACCTCGCGGGCAACTCGATGCCCCCCACCGAAAACCCTCGCGCAAGTTGCCCGCGCACCTCTCGGCGGCCAGCGCAGCATCGACGAGCCTAGCCATCGGAAGGCATGGCGTGCGAGATTAATGGGGAAGTCGAACCCTGGAAAATCGACGCACTCTAGACCATCGGCGTAATGCCCTGAGCCAAGAAATGCGGAATCCCATATCTTCCCTGTCCTCTTCGCGCACTGCGCCTGGAACTTTCCTACCTCGGCTGTTGCGCGTCATTACCTTGCCATTATATATGTGAAAAATCAGCGCGGCTGAACTTGCGCCCCTTGCCCCCCCCCCCCCCCGCTCCTCGTCTGCGACCTTGGCCTTTCCCGCCAAGAAACACTTCCCCAAATCGTGATCAGCAAGGTTACCTAATAATGTGGCCATTCCTCGTCCGCGCGCGCTGCGAGTGCGCCTGCCGCCCATGCCGCGCCCCTTGCCCGTTCGATAGCGCCCCCGTCGCGCTGCCCGTCTAAACCTCCGCAATGGCTTGTCAAGCGTCGCCTCCAGCTGCTTTTGGCATGGCGACTTCCTAGGTCTAGGTGCTGCTCTGCGTGGTCGTCGCCAACAAATAGATTTAACAAGTCGGTCTCAACAGCGCCCGTGGATGGGGCGGCGTCCGCGTCGACTCCAGAGTCGGCGGGCGGGCCGGGGCATCGACCTCACGAGCCCCGAGGTGCAGTCGCAGCTGGCGGTGAGCTACTGGCCACAGCTGCAGCTGGCCACTGGCTTCAATAATTGTTGTCGGGGCCGATTACATGTGCGCTGCTAGTTTCCTGCCCCATAAGCGCTGTGAATTCGTTTGGCCCCTGGCCGTCCCAGATATGACCACGCGTGGCCGCTAATATGTTGCCCATGTCCGCGTGGAACGCTCCAGCGCAAAATTCTCGACCACTGAAGACCCCGCCACTGTTTCCAGGGGCGCGCTCAGCCAAGTGTCCGCGGCTGCGCATGCGCTCCAAAAGTTGGCCGCATTGTTTCTAGGCGCGTGGCAATTGTTGGCTGAAGGGACGCAGTAGCTGCGAAGCTCGGGTGGCACCTGCCCCCATGGCTCACAACTGCAAGATCGTCGATACCCCGAAATTGGAAATATTGAATCCAAGCGGGTCCGCTTCAAACCTGGCCACGTCGGATCGGGCTGCTACCGGGTCGATGCGTTCACCTCGGTCGACTGTGATGTCAACGAGGGCTGTTCCTGATGTCACCTGTTGCTCGTTCTCGGAACATGAGGTATGTAACACCGTCGGCGCGTTGGCCCTGTAGGGTCACGCCGTAGCTGGTGTTCGGGAACGGCACTCCTATAGCCAGAGCCACGGCTAGGCCTCCGACGCCGGGCTTCAAGGCAGCGAACTGCCGTGGTGAAGTCACAGCCCCACTTGTTACATTGAACCATGCGTGCAGCTCGAAGGCGACTTCGAGGAACGGTACGGTGCCAGCAGGGTCCAAGTGAGGGTTCATGGTGCGCGTCTCGTCCATTCCTCGTTCCCCTACTGTTAGTCCAAGACACACACATGATGCCGAAACAAATAATGTCCATATAACGTATGGTCATGTTGGTGTAGGTGGTGTCGTGGTCGTCGCGGTTGTGGGTTGACGCGGCCGTCAGCTGTCGACTGGGTGAATGGTTCATGTTGGGGTGCTGCGACTGGCCGCGCTGTGGTAGGCTGACGATCGAGACGCTGGAATAAAATTGTGCAACTCGGTTTCGTGTGAAGAAAAGCGTAGTGTCGTAGAGCTGTGGCATACACGTGTATGCCGACGTGGCCGTCGGTCGCTGTGATGTCACGTGCAGGCTGGTTTCGTGGCTCTGGTTCCTTTAAGGAAGCCAGCGTAATTGGATGTACCACTATCGAAATAGTCCACTACCCTGGGCCGTGATATGCAGGCGTTGGAATTAGAGCTGAATTACATGATGATTTGTTCATGACATATCCAGGCTGTTTTGTTCTGAGCATATAGGTGGAAAAGCTAAGGCATGGGATGCAAGTGTGCAGCGTCGGCAAATCTGAGCGAACATTTTCCGCTACTCGAACCCAACCGCGCCCGATACCCAGCAGTACTGTTTTTATCTGCGCGCACCGGTTGGGCCCACACGGCGGCGGACGCAGGCGGGTCGCTCGCAGGTTCGCGCTTAAACCCGGCTTAACATTGTCGGACGACCAAAATGGCCCCGTGATGGCCTTACATGGTACCAGGAGGGCCCAGAAGGCTTTAGTGGGGTCTCCTGGGTTGCCTGAAGGACCTCGGCCCGGCCCGACAAGACAACATCTTATGTGTTTCGGATCCCCGCCTGTTCGAACTTGAGAGCTTTCAAGACGGCCCAAGGGGCCCTCAAGACCAGCTCAAGTCTGCACACATTGGCCCCAAGACGGCCCACGAGAACTTAGATTGCCCCAGAAAGCCCCATGACGCACAAGGAGGCCCCCAAGACGGTCCCCGAAGCCTCCAGACGGCCCTAGAACACCCCAAGACTGCCCCAGAGAGCCCAAACATGACACACGAGGACCACAGGAGGCCCCGAAGAAGGCGCATGAGATCACAAAAGAACCCCAACACCTACCCAACACGGCCACTCCCCAGTGTTCCCCCAGTGAGTTCTCCAACAGATGGGGGTAGCACGTGCCCAATTAGCTTGGCCGCACGTTCGCTCAACACTTCACGACACTGGCGCTCCCAAAAGGCAGAGGACGGCCGCGGCCCGCCCTAGGCGTCTCCGAGGACTCCCTGATTGATCGGGGACAAAACGAAACGGCAACACCGCCCACACCCCAAACATTACCGTGACTGCACTTCCGCATTGCGCGCTCGTGCGCAACAGTGTCTTCCAATGGCCAACTGCCCGCCGCCGTCGCCATTCGTCAGGCCGTCGGCTGGACCCCCAAGTCCTTGGTCTGCGTCTGCTCCCCTCCCCCCTCCACCCAGGCAGGGGCGAGGAGGTGGAAGCGGAAGGGCAGGGACGGGAGCAATTTTCAACACACTGGACACTGAAACCACTGCGCCGTCACGGCGGACACAGGATGCAAGAGATGCGCGACGGTCCTTGAACCGCCCTTGCTTAAACACGGCTGCTGCGCAAGCGCAGAGCGTGGCCAGCGTCTTCTCGTGCAGCTCGCCGAGCTCCTTGGCGCGAGTGGCGTAGACCTCCGAACAACAGCATGGACATGGAGAATCGTGGCAAGGAAGGCGAGGCGGAGAAGCACGAGCAGCAGCAACAACAGCGCCATCCGCCCATTCTCGGGCGTCGGTCTCGCTATTCCGCTTGCCCCGCCCACTTGTCCCCCCTTAAGTATCCGCCCCACCCAGTCCCCTTGTCGCGGCGTGTGCCCATAACTGCTCTGCCCCATCCAGTCCTCCTTCCCATTTAGCGCCAACCTGTCCAGTGTACTCCCGCTCTCCACCCCGCTACCTTATTTCCGCCTCCTCCCGTGATGCCTGCCCGTCCACTTCACTAATGTACTATTGTTAGTTCTCCACCCTTCCCCTTCTATTATACCGCCTCCTTGTCTCCGTGTGCCCACCTCTCCCTCGTATCTGCGCACCTCTCCCTCGTCTCTGCTTGATCACCTTTCCTTGAATGCTCCTCTGCCCTCCCCACGCCTCCTCCTGACCCCTCCCCACACCAAAACCTACTTCCCCCTCGGCTTCCCCCCCACACACACTCGCTCCTTGACCGCACAGACACGTAGCGCTTTGCATGTTTTGGCCTCTGGGGCCGTTGACCTGACTGCCGTCCTGGAACTCTCGCCGAGCTCCCCTCCGGGAGAGAGAAAGAGGAAGACGACGGATGGGGGAGACGATGAGGCCGAATGTTTTTTCAGAGCGCAGCGCCGCCCCAAAAAACTGAGAGCGTCCAAAGAGGGGGGTCACAAATCATGGCCCGAAACATGTGAGCGGACGAGGTGGGTGCGGGGCCGGGGGCCGCTTTGGAATACGAGGAAGGAAACGAAGAAGGAGGATAAGAAGAAAAACAAAGGAGGATCATACTAAGAAGTGGCATAGAGCGGCGAGGACGGACGAGCAGACCAGTGCGCACGCTGCCCCCCTCTAGCACCGCGCCCAGACCCCCCACCACTCCCACCGGCCCCTCCCCCGCATCCCCCACCCCTTCCCCCCGCATCCCCACCCCCATCAACCCTGCCCCCTCCCGTCTTCCATTGTTGTGCTCTGAGCTCGGCCTGTTCAGGAGACCAAGTTAATCGAGACCGGCGCCCTATTCCATCGTTGCGCGCGCCCGCGCCCCCTCCCCCTCCCCCCTCTCCCCCTTCTCCCCATCATCCCCACTCCCGCCTCCTCGCCTCCAGGAGGGATGACTGGGGAGAAGCTCGGGGGAGGAGCACAGAGAGGGTCATGTCCTCCTCCCACCCCTCCCCCCTCTACCGCCATGCGATCGTAACGGCGCGACTCTAGTCAGAAGGCCCCTACCCCTTCATCCCTCCTGGAGGCGACGAAGGAGGATTTGGGTGACCCAAAAGGGGGTCCAGCTGCAAGGGGGTGGTGCAATAGATTTGGGGGCATTGGCTTGCAAATTGCGCTGGAGAACTGTATTGCGTAGTATTGCAACTAATGCATTGCGCGCGAAAACCCAGCAATACATCTGCGCCCCAGAATGCATCGCTCGCCCCAGATGTATCGCAACCCCCCACACATCTATTGCACCAAATCTATTGCACCACCCCCTTGTCGCTGGACCCTCTTTTGGTGCGCGGTTCATTGGGGGCCGCGGGAGGACCAAACACGAGCGCGCAAAACGCTAATACCGCATCGCGTTCGGCGAACCGGGGGCCCCCTTGGGCCCGCACCAAAGGTCACTCCAGCGAAAGGGCACTCTTACGTTAGGAGGCAACTACTGGGAGGTTTTCGTCGGAAGGATCAATAAAGGAGGATTAAGCCCCTTTGGGGGGCTGGTACGCCAGAATGGGCCTCGGATCAAGCGGGACTAAGCCAGATTGAGCGGGATCAAGCGGGATGAAGCCAGATTGAGCGGGATCAAAAGGGGATTCAGCTGGAATAGGCGGGATTTCGGACCAGGGCTGAATCAGAATTTCACCTCCCGGGAGCTGCATCCGCATACGTGTATGAAGGGGCCCCAGAACACACACACACATAGATACACACAAATAAAAAGATCCCCCATATCTTCATATCTTTTCTGGGTTTTTGTCTTCCCCCCACTTCCCATATTTTCGCATATTTTCCTGGGGATCGACGATTCATTGTGTCTGTGTGTTTTTTCCCCTCCTGAGTGTAGTCGATTGGGCCAACCCGATGGGAGGGAGGCCCGCCGCTGCCTCGACGAGCCGGCCTTCGGGCCACGGATGGAGCCCCCGGCGGCCGCTCGGGACCGCCTGGGCGCCCCCGGGCCTCGCCCGGCGAGAGGCGGAGGACGAGGAGGAGGCGGAGGAGGAGGAGGAGGAGGAGGAGGGGGGGAGGAGGAGGAGGAGGAGGAGGAGGAGGAGGAGGAGGAGGAGGAGGAGGAGGAGGAGCCCTCCGGGGAGCCGAGGCAGACGCCCGAGCACTCCGAGCCTCGAGCCTCTGGGAGGGCCACGGCCGTGGCTGGGGGAGGAACTGGACTTCGGTCGGGCGTGTCCCCCTACAGGGGGGATCTCGGGCGAAAAATTAACGATACCCCCAAACTGCAAACAAAAAGTTCAAACATGATCCAAGAATCGTCCCCAGACTACCTCTTGTAGAGGGACAGGCCCGACTTAAAGCTGGCCCGGACTGGCGGGTGCCGCGCGCGCCCCGCTCCCTCGCCGCGCCCCCCTGGCGGGGCGTGCCTCTCGGAGCACCGCCTCCGCCTCGGCGAACCTCCCCTCGCCGCTGAGCAGCAGGGCCCTGTGCTGCTGCAGATCGCTGGCCTGGGGGCGGCGCGGGCGGGGCGTGATCCTCCTCCCCCCTTTCTCCTGCCCCTTCTCGTCTCCCTCATCGCCCTCCTCGTCTTCCTCCTCCTCGTTCTCCTGGACCCTGCTCCTGTTCCGCCTCCTCTTCTCCTTCTCGTCTTCCTCCTGCCCCTGCTCCTCGTTCTCCTCCTCCTCCTCCTCCTCCTCCTCCTCCTCCTCCACCTCGTGGCCCCTCCGCAGGCTTCTGTCCCCCCATTCCCTTGCCCTGGTGGTGCTGGAGCGCATCCTGTCTGCCGCACTCCTGAGGCCGACGCCCCTGACCCCAGAACGGTGCCCGGGACGTCATCCACGAGGGTATTCGAGAGGGCGCGGGACTCAGGCCGGTGGGCGACCAGGGCGCAGCGGGTAGGCTCTCACGAGGAGCGCCCCGCCAGGCGATACAGAGGGCCACGTGGCAGCTGCAGACCCTCCATCCTCCTCCTGGACCCTCCTCCGCGACCCTCCTCGTCGGCTCCTCATCCTCCTCCTTCTCGGCACTCCTCCTCGACTCTCCTCCTCGATCCTCTTCCCCGACTCTCCGCATGAATCCTCCTCCCCGGCCCTCCTCCTCGACCCTCCTCCACGATCCACCTCCTTAGCTCCTCCTCTTCCTCGACCCTTCTTCTGGATCCTTCTCCTGGATCGTCCTCGACTCTTCGCAGGATCGAGCCCCTTCGGCCTCCTGGACACTGCTGCCCGAGCCTCTTCGCCTGCACCCCGCGGGCTGCAGGGCTCGGCGGCCGTGCCGCGCAGGGCCCCGCCCCGCTGGGCTCGCTCCCGGCGGGGCTCCTCCGGAGGTGCCGCTCGCTGGAGCGGCACCGCGGCGCGAGGCGGCGCGCGGGCCCGGCAGGGGTCTGGTCCGGTGGGCTGCGAGGTTGCCACGCTGGGCTCCCAGGCGGAGGCCGCAGACAGCACGAAGCTGTGAAGGCGAGTCTCGAGAGGAGTGCCATGGGCTGGGAGATGGAGACCGTGGTCAGCTTGCGCAGCTGCTGCGAGGATGGCTGGGCGGGCGGTGCCAGCCGCGGGCGACGGGAGAGGACCCATCAAGGCCCGTGACGCCGTGGAGGCCCCCCAGCGGCGGGTGGCCTCTGCTGTCCAGGGGGGGGGGCGTGTGGCGGACACGAAGGACGGGCATCGGCCACCTGGCAAGCCAGTCCGCGGCCGCAGCGACTCGAACAAGGAGGCGAGCAAGCCGCCAAGACGGCGGCTCCACGGCCACTGCCGCTGCCGTGCGGTGGTAGGCGTGTGAGGCCAGCGCGAGCCGCTGCCTGCCAAGGTGCGAGCAGCTCTCGACCGGCTCGAGCAAGTCACGTCCAGCGTGCGGGCACCAGCCCAGGACCACCCCGCAGCGAGAGCTCCGTGGAGGACGCCACGCTTGCAGAGCTGTCACAAGCAGCATCACGGCACAGAAGCGGAAAAGGGTGCTCACGGGTACCGACAAGGCGTGAGAGAAGGAGCTTTACAGTGAGCCTGGCGCGGAATCAGCGCAGGCCGCGATTGGGCACGAGGTTGAGCAGGACGAGGACGGCGAGGGCCGTGCTTTGCTTTCGGCGATGCGCGGAGGGGCGCGGCTTTCGGCCTGCCCACCCCCCTCCCTCGTCGCCTTGAAGGCCCTGCTTCTCGTCTCTTCTTCCCTTCTTTCCTTCTTCCCTCAGAGCAGAGCCGGCTCAAGCCGCTGAGCAGCGCAACGCCGTGGCCAACGGTCTGGCTGTTCCTGGTTGCCGCAGTCCACCTGCGCCCGCCGGCCACCGCTGGGGTTCGCGGGGGTCCGCCAGCCCATCGGCTCTCCACTCAGCCTGTGCTACTCTTCGCGCACGGTGCATGGGGTTGGGCCCACCGCTCCGCGCACACACACACACACACACGCAAACACACACAGACACAGACACAGACACAGACACAGACACAGACACAGACACAGACACAGACACAGACACGGACACAGACACAGACACAAGCACAGACACAGACACAGACACAGGCACAGACACAGACACAGACACAGACACAGACACAGACACAGACACAGACACAGACACAGACACAGACACACACACACACACACACACACACCCACACACACACACACACACACACACACACACACACACGCTGCACCTGCGTCCCGGGCCTCCAGCGCTGTGCCCTGGCCCACGACACACCTCCCCGTGTGCCCAACAGCTGGCGCAGCGGGTGCTCAGCTGCTTGGGCCCGCCCCATTTCCATTCAGCGATCTCGGCCTCTAGGCCACACTCTGCTGGTGGCCCAAGGCCCAAAGCGACTCGACCTCAGCAGGCGCACGCCAAGCACTGACTCAGGTGCCGCTGGCTGACCCGGCGCCTACCCTTCTCCGCCTCTGTCTTCGCCATCGCCTCCCCTCGCTCGCCCGTGCTCGTTGAGCCTTCTCGGCGCCTCCGCCCCTCCTTGGCGGGGCCATGGTCTCGCTATGGCCTGCTCGGCCGCTCGCCTGCTCAGCCCTGGTGCTGGTCTCTAGGGGGCAAACAAACCTACCTCGCTTTTGACCACCCTCGCTTCCAAGAGATACCAAGCGATGCCAAGCTACGGCCTGTACTGGTCAGGCCGCTTGACGAGGAGGCGCGTGGTATGACTTGGTTTTGCCTGGAAGCGAAAGCGGGGTAGGTAATTCACGCTCTGAGTCTCCGCGAGCTCACCGTTCAGCGATCCCCCCATCCTGACGGGAGGGGGACCCCACAGGAGCTGCGTGCCAGTTCCCGGAGGAGCGGCCCCCTCGAGGGCAGGCGGCTCAGATGTACAGCTGCAGCGAGTGCACGTTCACGGCGCATGGAGAAACTGACTACCTACCAGACCATCCCAACCCAACCCGAAGACCCGAATTTGACCCGAATTTCGCGTTGGGGGGGGTACGGGTTCCATGTGTTTTTTCAATGTTCCCCGACCCCCCCCCCACTGGAAATCGAGGATAAATTTGGGCCTTCGGGTTGGGTTGAGGTGGTTTGGTGGGTGGTGAGAAAAGAAACAGAGGACCGCAACCCCATCACTCACGCAAGGCGTCACCCCATCTCGAGCAGGGCCTTCCGACAGAGGACGCCTCGACCTGGCATCGGGGACGCAGGGCCGACAAATCGGCGACAGGCCCCCGGCGGCGAACATCCGCACCTCGCCGGGCGGGGGGCGGGCCGCCGAGCCCCGAGGCGGCGAGGAGTGCTGCGCGATTGGGGGCCGACGTCGTGGCCCCCGAGCTCGCCCCCGCTTCGTCGCGCCCCTCCTGCGAGGATGGGACTTCTCCGACTCCACCGCCCGAGGACCGACGTCCTGGAGACCCAGCGGGCGGTGGATCTATGGATCTGTTCTTAGGGGGCCACATGCGAACCCTACCCCTACCCCCCACGATTTCTAAGTGAACCCCACCCTCCCCCTCAGAAATCGTGGGGGGTAGGGGTAGGGTTCGCATGTGGCCCCCTAGTTCTGGCCCCCGGGGGCCCGAAACTGTCCACGTCCGCCGCGCGAGGAGGTCCGCGAAGATCGCTCCCCCGGGCGGTGGCTGCGGAGACATTCCCCCCTCGAGGGAGGAGGGAGGAGGAAGGAGGAAGGAGGAGGAGGGAGGAGGAGGAGGAGGAGGAGGAGGAGGAGGAGGAGGAGGAAGGAGGAGGAGGAGGAGAGGAGGAGGAGGAGGAGGAGGAGGAGGAGGAGGAGGAGGAGGAGGAGGAGGAGGAGGAGGAGGAGGAGGAGGAGGACGAGGAGGAGGAGGAGGAGGAGGAGGAGGAGGAGGAGGAGGAGGAGGAGGAGGAGGAGGGAGGGCCTCTCCTGGCCTCGGCGGGCTCGCCCTTCCTGCGATCCGATGCCCTGGCCCCCCCTGCTGCTCTGAGAGCAAAAGAGAAAACGCGTGCTTTCGAAAATACCCGCCATTTCGTCTGATTTCATCTGCGATCAACGGTTGATCTCGTCGGCATGCATGAGTTCTTACTTCTGCCGTCTGGATCGTAAGTCTGAGTTGATACATTTAGAACTTATTGTTAACATCCCAGCTGCTCTAACCTTGGGCGTGGCTAAATGGGGGGGTCACAAATGGGGGGTCAGAAACGGTCCCCTTTCGTGCCCCTTTCGGGCCCCTCCAGAGCCCCAGGGGGCTCGTTTGGGTACCGTTTGGGTACCTCTTCGGACCACCTCAGAAATCGTGGGGGGTAGGGGTCCGATCCGATGCCCCGGCCCCCCCCTGCTGCTCTGAGAGCAAAAAAAACGCGTGCTTTCGAACATACCCGCCATTTCGTCTGATTTCATATGCGATCCACGGTTTATCTCGTTGGCATGCATAAGATCTTACTTCTGCCGTCTGGACCGTAAGGCTAAGTTCATACATTTAGAACTTATTGTTAACATCCCAGCTGCTCTAATTAACCTTGGGCGTGGCTTAATGGGGGGGTCACAAATGGGGGGTCAGAAACGTTCCCCTTTCCGGCCCCTTTCGGGCCCCTCCAGAGCCCCAGGGGGCTCGTTTGGGTACCGTTTGGGTACCTCTTCGGACCACCCTCGCCGCCCCCCATTTATGATCCCCCCTTACGCAGCGCCCACCCACCCCTGCTGCTCTAACCTCCCGGGCGTGCATCGCCTTGGCCGCTCCCCTTGGCCCGCACAGTCCGGGCGAGGGGGCCGAGCGGCCTGGCGCTGTCCCCGGGTGCGCGGCCGACGTCGGCTTCCGCAGAGCGGCTGGCCTCGCCCTCGGCCCCCTTCCGCGATGCACCCGCACCTGCGACCCACCAGCGACCCGCGCGCGACCCCCCCCCCGCGACCCATCCGCGACCCACCCGCGACCCACCGGCGCAGGTCTGGCAAAATCGCTCGCTGTGTACCGTGTAGGAGAGCGGAGCCTGCGGCGGGCGGCAGACGACCCCCTCCCCGTCCGGCCCCCCCATCACTCCTGTCTGCACCTGCGGGGGCGATCTTCTCTTCCTGGATGTACCCGTCTTTGCAACTCTGGTTGTCGGCCCAATATCGTCTCAGGCAGCTCCACGAGACCCTTCAAGAGCTCCCCTAAAGAGGCCCACATTCAACTGACTGAAGGATAGTGAAATCAGTTTGGCTTTCTCGCTTCTTCTGCGCTTCTGCGCGTCCAATGATGCGCTTATGGGACCTCCAGATGGCTCCAAGATCGCCCAAGATGGCTCAAAGTCCGAAGACATCCCAAGGTGATCCAGCAGCGCATCAGAAGCGCCCCCAAGAGGGCTCCAAGAGAGCCCTACGAAGGCCCAAGACGGGCAAAACGCGGGGATCATTGGGTGGGAGCCCTAAGAGGCCCCACAATAGCCGATAGCTGGCCCACGATGGTCCGAGACTGCCTTAAATGACCTCCAAAAGACCACACGGGCCCGAAATCCTTCAAACGCCATCGGTATTGCAATGATTTGACCTTTCTCGCTGTATCGCTTCTGATTGGCTTCTGAGACCTCAGCGTGGCTCCCACATCGCCAATGACTGCTCAAATGCAGCACAGGAGGGCTCCAAGAATGATACGAAGACCCACGTGAGCGCCCCAGGAGCGCCCCAGGAAACCTCCAAGAGAGGCCCAAGAGGGCCCAAGACTGGCCCAAGATAAAGGATACATGGGTCGCAGGCCCCAAGATGGCACCAACACATCCCCAAGGGGCCTCACGATAGCGCCGCCCAAATGTGGCCCAAGATAGTTTAGAACAGCTCGCAAGAGGCCCGCAAACTGCCCCCCAATGTACCCAACTCGCTCAAGCACTGAATGGGCTACCATGCTTTGTATCTTTCTCGCCTTTTCGCTTCGTATGCGCCCCTAAGGCTTCGATCTGGCTTCCACATCGTCCCACATGGCCCCAAGTGGAGCCCAGACGCGCTCCAAGAGGGCATCGAAGACCCACAGGAGGGCCCTGGAGGGCACACAGACCTTCGGGTACCGAAGCGACCCCAAGAGGCACCAAGACGGCCCCCTTAGGGAACACGCTGGTCCAGAACACCCTCCAAAAGGCCACAATCAAGCCCCTGGGCGGCGTCCGGAAAGCCCTCAGATGATCCGACAGCGTGCGAAGGGGCTCGGCAAAACGTAGCACAAACGCCTCCATATTCGCCATGATGGCTGCCCTCTCGCCCTCGAGCTTCGGTGGTAAAACTTTGGCGGGGACGTGCTCCGTTCAGTGCCGTCATCCATCTGCCTGGTGACTGTTTCTTCCACAATTGAGCTCCACCTTCCGACTCCCAGTAGTCCACCTCCCTCTACCCCCGCTCCTCCATTATCTGCCGTCCTTAGCATGCTACCACCGTCCTCATCCCATTGCTTCTTCCTTTCCCCAATTCACACTCCACGCTCCTCCTCTGTTATGGCTCCTACTTCCTCCCTCGTACCTCATCTTCCACCCCATCGTGCACCTCTGGGGATCCCATCACAGCCCCAGGTTGTGCCAAAAGTACGCTTTCGAATGGCGCTTGCCAATTCACTTTTTCGGCTCAAGACCAGCATAGCTCATTGCCTCCTTAAGACTGCACAAGAACGCCACCAGAAGAATCCACAGCCACCCGCGACCCTCTCAAGATCGAACGAGAACGCGACCAGCAGGCCAACGGCCCCCGGGATGGCGCTGCAGACTCCGTGGAGCGTTGCCTTGCAGTTACCCTGCCACCGTGTCTCCCCCCAAGCGAGGTTCACGTGACAGCTAGGGAAGACGATCGCAACCCACAACTTCCTCAGCTCCGGCGAGCACGAAGGCGGGCTCTCGGTTCATCTATGCCCGCTGCGGTCGGTTCTAGCCGGCCGAAGGGCGGAAACGCTTTGAAAAACTGAAACGACACCCCGTGTCCACAAGCAATGTCCGAGGTCAATGGCTGCGGGAACTTGCTTTCCAACCGTGACCGTTTTCTGTGTACGCAAAACACCTTCACAATGCGAGGACGGGCTTCTGAGGCTGGAAAAATGAAGAAAACAGAGCGGCCTGGACATCAAAACTCACCTCCCCCCCGGTGAACCAAAAATCAATATCTCAAGTACGCACTACTAACTGATCAACGGCGCTGCTGAAAATAAAGCAAGAGCAGAATATACAACTTCGGCTATCCTCGTCCGAAGCGCTGTAGGGCAAGCCCTGCGCATCCTGTCGTGGGAGCCCATATTCGTTGCCCCAAGTACCCTCCGCACGGTCCACTCCTCTCCGTCTCGTCCCTCATTATTTGCACTAAGGAAATCACGCTTGTTCTTGCAACACGTTCGATACATGACGAAAGGCGAAACACGCGTGTTACCTGCCATGCAGTCTGCTGAACTGGCTGTATAGGCGACACAGCTTTCGCGATCATTGTCGTCGTTGTCGTTGTCCTCGTCGTTTCGACCATGCCGCATGGGAGAACTCAACGGCCAGCTGCGCGGCAGGCAAAATGGCAACCGCCAGGGTTGCAGTATCGGCCTCATGTCTCCTCTCCATCATCCATTCGTCAACTCGCTTCGTTCTCCCCCTCGTGACCGTCGCTGTCGGTACCGTTCTTCCTGACGCTTCACTGTTTCACAACAGTACCGCTGGCAGTGTGCCAGGGGCAATCGTTTCACCGTTTGTGCCAATGCCAGAACACTTGCTATCATCGCGCTCGTAATCGTCGCCGCCACGCTCTGACATACTTCGAGCTGGGGCAATTACAACGCAGTCTGCATGGCATCAGTGGCTGGCCGCCTTGGACCTAATCAGATGGCATGCCCACCAAACTCCTTCTTTAGTGTGACACCGTCTGCGGGGTCCGAAGCTGGCACTCGTTGTCTGAACCATGCCGCCTAATCCACAAGCAAGCTGTGATGACACTCCAACAGTGCACGATACATGCGTGGGGTGAGGATTGAGAGAAGCAGTGCTTCGAATGGATATGCAATCAACCAGCGCGCACACACACACACACACGCACTTACATTCAACACAATTATCCGCCACCGTGCCCTGTGGCACGAGTTGGGATGTCCTCAAGTCCCTTTCGGGTTCTCCGTATTGACCTCCAGATCTTCTGTGAAGGGTCCACTGCCCGGAGTTCCTGGGCGCTCCTGGGCGCTCCCGCCGGGGGGGTCCCCGCATGACCTTCCGAGAGGCCGAGAGCGCGGCGTTCGGGACATGCACGGCTTTTTGTGCTCGCGAGAGCGCCCGCCCGCCTCAGTGTCACCAGGGCCCGGCCGCCTGTCATGCAGTTTTTGCGTACATGCCTCTCGCAGGGGCGCATCCCGAGAACGCGCAGGGGAGGAGAAGGAGGAGAGGGAACAAGGGCGCTGTGCGACGGTCTCCTGGGTGCCGAGCGGCCGTTCATACAATGCGAAAAACACACACACAGCGGCAACCTAGGTGGGAGGAGCGAGGCGGACAGGGTAGAAAAGCGAACGTCAGACAGCAGCGGACAGAGGCGAGCATAGCGATGGACAAACGCCCAAACATCTGACAACCAAAGGATGGCAGCGAGAATGCGAGAGAGAGAGAAGAGAGCGGGAGAGAGAGAGAGAGAGAGAGAGAGAAAAAAAAAAAAAGAGAGAGAGAGAGAGAATAATCCGCCGACCCCTTGGGGTTCATCGGCGTGTGAGATGTTCCCCCTCCCCAAACCCCTCCCCCGGGAGCCCGGTCCGGTCCATTTGGAGGGGGGGGGGGGGGGTCCGGCCGGACGGGCCGGACGGGCCGGAACCCCCCGGAGGTCTCATCCGCTCCCGAAAAACGTGGAAAAACACGTGAAATTCGTGTAGGGACGCGTCTGGTGGCCTCGAAATGGGTTTGGGACGCCCCACGAGCGCTCCAAGACGTCCAAGTTTGCCCGAAGACGGGCCACGAGGCGTCCTCGACGGCAGAAGAGGTCCCCACGAGCTCCCCCGAGGGCCTCCGAGATGCGTTCCACAAGGGTCCCTAGACGCCAAAATTGGGCCATTCCCATTGTGAAATGCACATTTTAAAAAATTCAGCTTTGGATCGTTCCGATGCTCCCCGACGGCCCAAGAGGCTCCCAAACCCGCTCCCAGACGGCAACAGAAGCCTCGCAGAGGGTCCCCCACAGACCCCTAGAGGGCCCAAGATGGGCCAACAGGCGTCCAAGACGGCCCAAGAGGGCTCCGAAAACGGCCCCAAAAGCGTTCCAGGAGCGCTCCGAGCTGCTTCCCCGAAGCTCCACATGGTCCCAAACGGTCCAAGAGCGATCAGAAACATCGACGACGACCTCCCGACGGCTCACGAGGCCTCCCCAGACGCCCCCACAGGCATCCAAGATTCCCCCCAAGAGGCCCTCTAGACGCAGAAAATCGTTTGTTTCCTTTGTAAAACGTATATTTTTTCACACGTGCGATTTTTGGGGTGACGAAAAACGTGGAAAAACACGTGAAATTCGTGTAGGGACGCGTCTGGTGGCCTCGAAATGGGTTTGGGACGCCCCACGAGCGCTCCAAGACGTCCAAGTTTGCCCGAAGACGGGCCACGAGGCGTCCTCGACGGCAGAAGAGGTCCCCACGAGCTCCCCCGAGGGCCTCCGAGATGCGTTCCACAAGGGTCCCTAGACGCCAAAATTGGGCCATTCCCACTGTGAAATGTACATTTTGCTTTGGATCTTTCCGATGCTCCCCGACGGCCCAAGAGGCTCCCAAACCCGCTCCCAGACGGCCCCAGAAGCCTCGCAGAGGGTCCCCCACAGACCCCTAGAGGGCCCAAGATGGGCCAACAGGCGTCCAAGACGGCCCAAGAGGGCTCCGAAAACGGCCCCAAGAGCGTTCCAGGAGCGCTCCGAGTTGCCTCCCCGAAGCTCCACATGGTCCCAGACGGTCCAAGAGCGATCATAAACATCGACGACGACCTCCCGACGGCTCACGAGGCCTCCCCAGACGCCCCCACAGGCATCCAAGATTCCCCCCAAGAGGCCCTCTAGACGCAAAAAATCGTTCGTTTCCTTCGTAAAACGTATATTGTTTCACACGTGCGCCTTTGAGGGTGACCCCCGCTTCTGCACGGCCCCAGAGCCCCCCAAACCCGTTCCCAGACGGTCCAAGACGCCTCCAAGAGGGTCCGTACATAGCCCTCGAAGGCCCCAAGACGCGCCAACACACGTCCAAGACGGCCCAGAAGGGCTCCGAAAACGGCTCCGAGAGCGCTCCAGGAGCGGTCCGAGTGGCCTCGCAGAGAGCCCCACATGGTCCTCGACCGTCCAAGGGCGATCAAAAACGCTGACGACGGCCTCCAAACGGCTGAAGAGGCCCCCAAGACGCCCCAAGAGGCATCCACGATGCGCCCACAGAGAGCCTCTAGACGCAAAAAATCCTTCGTTTCCTTTGTCAAACGTATGTTGTTTCACACGTGCGCCTTTTGGGGTGTCCCCCGCTCCTGGACGGCCCCAGAGCCACCCAAACCCGCTCCCAGACGGCCCAAGACGCCCCCAAGAGGGTTCCCACAGAGCCCTCGAGGGCCCCAAGACGCGCAAACGCACGTCCAAGACGGCCCAAAAGGGCTCCGAAAACGGCTCCGAGAGCGCTCCAGGAGCGGTCCGAGCGGCCTCGACGAGAGCTCCACATGGTCCTCGACTGTCCAAGAGCGATCCAAAACGCTGACGACGGCCTCCCGACGGCTGCAGAGGCCCCCCAAGACGCCCCACGAGGCTTTCACTATGCGCCCCTGGAGGGCCTCTCGCTGTATAAAATCGCCCGTTCTCTTCGTCAAACGTGTATTTTTCGCACGTGCGCCTTCTGGGGCGCTCCGGGGCGGCCCGAGAGCCTCCCAAGACCGCACCAAGACGGTCCAAGAAGCTTCCACGAGGGCCCCGCGACAGGAGAAGGAGGGAGGGGAAGAGGAGCAGGAGGAGGATAAGGAGGAGGAGGAAGAGGACAAGGCGGGGGAGGAAGAGGAGGAGAAGGCCGGGAAAGAAAGGGGGATAAGGAGGAGGAGAAGGCGGGGGAGGAGGAGGAGGAGGAGGAGGAGGAGGAGGAGGAGGAGGAGGAGGAGGAGGAGGAGGAGGAGGAGAGGGACGAAGGGCGGGAGGAGGAACAGCAGGAGAAGGACAAGAAGGAGGAGGAGAAGAAGGCGGGGAAGGGAAGGGAAGAAGGACGTGGACGAGGAGGAGGAGGAGGAAGGGCAGGAGAAGGAAGAGGAGGAGAGGCAGAAAGAGGAGCAGGAGGGAGGAGCAGGGGGAGGAGGAGAGGAGGAGAGGGAGCCGATCATCGTCATCAGTGTCGTGATCATCAACGACGTCATTGCCATCGACAAGGTCAGCCCAAACATCTCCGAACATTAACAGTTAGCGGGACATCCCGCTTGGAAACCGCCGACAACCGTAAGATGTCTCCGGGGTGTAACATACTTCCCTGGCTCCGGCACCCGTGCAAGGCCCCAAACACAACCCAAAAAACCTCCCTGTGCCGTCTTGGGGTTCGCCTGGGCCGTCTGGAAGCCCTCTGGGCCAGTTTGCGACCCATGTCGGCTCCCCTTCTCGCTGTGACGGGCCCTGAACAACCTCATTTTCCCACGGTTTGCAAGGAAGCTGTGGTGAACGATCCCGGGGAAAATCCAAGGGGTCGGCGGATGTGGCGGAAGCCTGAAGAATAATAATAATAATAATAATAAGAAGAAGAAGAAGAAGGAGGAGGAGGAGGAGAAGAAGAAGAAGAAAGAAGAAACATAATGGACGCCACCCCACAGCACGAGACGCCAGTGGCGGGCCAACACCGAGGATCCGAGAGGCAAACCACACGGAGCACAGTTCGACGAGCACGGCCCACCGCCAAGAGAAGTCGCCGATTGGAAACGACCTGCGCGGCAGCACGGCGCCACGCGCGGGCCGACCCTGCGACGGCGGGAGGGCGAGCCCCGCGCAACGGCTGGGGCTGGCCGCCAGCGGCCGATGGGGGGGGGGTCCGTCGTCCGCGTGCGGTGGGCACCAGTCCGTCCCTGTCGTCGAGAGCAGGCGCCGCCCAGCGAGGGGCTCTCTCTCGAGAGGGAGTGAGCAAGGGAGAGAAAGAGAGAGAGGGAGTGAGCGAGGGAGAGAAAGAGAGTGTTCTCTTGTGGCTTTCGGTTCTTCCTCTTCCTCTCCATGCTTACGCTCCTCCAGGTGCTGACTTTCGTTCAGTTGCTCCTGATGTGCAACTCGTGGAAAGAGAAAACGACAG